AATCATTCGAAATTTCGACATTAAAGATTAAGGAAGATTGAAATTGAGTTACAAGGACTGAAATATTGTTAACAATGCATACATAATAACATATTGACCAATTGCACGGTACATATTCATCAAGACATAAACAAAACTAGTAAAAAAATGGATACTTCAACGTTCACAAACAGATAGTGATGTTGGTTTGTAAAATTTATTTGCATTAAAATTAACTAACAACCACATGTTGGCATACAAATAAATAGTCAGACTCTTATTCAACAGTTGAGTTCTTCATATGCAAGCACAAGCGCTGTTTGAAAAATTTAGTTACGTTGACATAACAAATGCCGTGTAAACATTTACTACAGTGGCCAGGACGTGTCTTTGAATAAATATAACGTTACAAAATTATTATTATTATTTTATTTAGATTTTTGTTATTTGCATTATCGTATGCAGTGATATTTCTTAATAATTGTATAACAAATCACGGGCTGGTGATGACAGTCATGAGGTCAGTGGTGCAGTAAGCAGAGAATCGGAACTGCAAAAAGATATTTAATCAAAGAAGAAAATGCAGTCATATTACAATAGTCTAATTATATATATAGTCAATAGTCCTAATTATATATATATATATATATATATACTTGGTGTCTATAGTAAATACAGTGTGTATATACATATATACACACAGTTTTATATGGATTTTACCGAAGTGTTGGCAAGAATCAATTAAAAGTTTGTCTTATCAATTTTCCGTGCTTAAAGGGGAAAGACAAACTTTAAATTGGTTAATGCCAACAATTTGATAGAATTCATACAATACTGTATAAACTATAGCCTCCTTCCAATATATATATATATATATAATATGATATATATATATATATAATATAAAATAAATATATATATATATATATATATATGAAATAATTTATAAGCGCTTTTGATTCACATCCATTATATTTCTAACTATTTGATCTGCTCACTTTATTTTGGCTAATTTAATTGATCTTTAAGTGAAAAAGTGTGGAAATAGGTTTAATTTAATAAATTGACTCTACCTAGTACAGAAATAATTAATGTGTTGTCGTTCATCAAGTATGCCGTATCAAACTGATTTAAATCACTTATTTATTTGTGCTTAAAGGGGAAAGACAAACTTTAAATTGGTTAATGCCAACAATTTGATAGAGTTCATACAATACTGTATAAACTATAGCCTCCTTCCAATATATATATATATATAATATGATATATATATATATATATAATATAAAATAAATAAATATATATATATATATATATATATGAAATAATTTATAAGCGCTTTTGATTCACATCCATTATATTTCTAACTATTTGATCTACTCACTTTATTTTGGCTAATTTAATTGATCTTTAAGTGAAAAAGTGTGGAAATAGGTTTAATTTAATAAATTGACTCTACCTAGTACAGAAATAATTAATGTGTTGTCGTTCATCAAGTATGCCGTATCAAACTGATTTAAATCACTTATTTATTTGTGCAGTACACAGTGCATTGAATATGTGTTAGTGTTTGTATGTCTGTGCGTGTGTGTGCGTGTGTGTGTGCGTACGTGTATATGTGTGTGTGTGGTGACCTACAAATATGTTTGCGTGTAGGCTCTGTTTTTGTTCATTTCCGAAAATTGTGAAGAGTGAAAATATAATAAATAATATTTTTATCATGATTAATATTTTTTCAGGTAGCATGCAGTTAAAATTGTGAAGATTGCGCAACTAATACTGGGAACTTACGACCTTCGAGACAATTGCAAAATTGCTCTCAGTTCTCGTATCATTCGCTATCAGATTGAATCTGAAGATTAAAAACTTCGTCGTAATCATAATTTTTATAGCGTCAAATAAATTTTACAAACTTATCATCGGCTACAACTTCAACAACCTCGCCATCAATATGGATTTGCAACTAAATATTCTGAAGATTATACAGCTTATAAAAATGACAACAGCTAGATGCATAACACCTTTCATAACATCATTGAAGTATTGATCAAAGTCTGTTAACACCAGCTGCTTAGTTAGTGCGGTTGAAACCTTTTGTTATTCAATTTAAGTTCACAGTCACATTCGTCACATTCAACATTATCCCCTAATAAATTTATCTTTCACACCACCTCGCCGACCATCAGCATCCCGTCAACATCACTGCCAGCATCATCCAGCGACACCCACCAATATGACTGATGACAACCTGGAAAAGCAGTTGAACGAAGGTAAGAAGCACTTCATGAGGATGGAGTGGACTCAGGCCGAGGAGACCTTCTTCAATGTTCTCAAATGCATAGGTCAACCATTCTATACGTTTTTATTATTATCTTTCAAAAATGCGTTCTAAAGATGGACATCAAAAAACACTTCAATGGATCAATTAAGGCGTCAATAAATATTCAGAATACGTTAAATTTGATGTCAATTCACTATTTGTCAACATAAACTATTATTATTTTTCATTTTACGTTGATTTATTTATCATAAATTTATTTTAATAATTATTCATCCATTACCCCGATATTTATGCCATTTTAGTGCGTACCAAAAAAAACCATCAAAATAAAAGAAATTACTTTTATTTGTGCAGGGACACTGACCAAGAACAATTGGGACCACTGTTTCGACATGATTAAAGTGGACACCCTGTCCAGTCTCGGAGAGCTGGAGATGCGAAGATGCAGAAGGTTCTGCTACGACGACATCACCTGGTTCAAAGGGATGTTCAGATCGCTGACCTTCTACAACGACGCCCTTGCATGCATCAATAAAAGGAAGAGGCATTTAGGAAACAAATCAGAAAGGAGCAGAGATAATAAAAATAATTTTAAAGATAGTAACAATAATATTAGTTGCAATAGTATAAACGCTAGAGACGCGATTGAAAACGAGTCGGATGTTGAAGAAAAGGCTTTCTTTAACCAGGCACAGGCGAGAGTAATATTTCAAATAAAGACGATCGAAGATTCCACTAACAAAATATTAACCGACAAAATATTGAAGAACTGTTTGGTATCTAGTAACGCCAGGACGCTGACATTTAATGATGAATGGCTGCGACAGATGGCTTTATTTTGCTCAGATGAAAAGACGCCACAACGCCAAACCGTTAACGATCAAAGACAAAATGATAATCAAAATTCAAGCAGACTGCACCAAAGCCAAATTGAAAAACAAAAGGATGAAAACTTCCAGCCAGTCTACAAACGCAAAATCGATTTTGACAGAGTTCAGGAAGCTATCATGCAATTGGTTAATGATGTATCGATTGATGTCAGAAGAAATTACAATCACGTAACTAGATTAGTTCCTCAGCAATTAATTCAACAGAGGCTGATGTTGGAGGTGACGAGGCGGTTGACGCCTGGCAGTCGGGATAATGAGGATCTCATGAAAGTTCTTGAAAGTGCTATCGTCTACGAAGACGCCAACGCTCCCCCTTCCAAAAATTCTAAAAAAGCCAGTGAATGCAATGCAAGCATCGCCGACCACACTACAATTGTCGATTTTGAAGACGAGAATGACAGGACAATATATATGAACATTGAAACTTGTCAGCCGGAAAGTATTGAAATGAAAATTAGAAACAGAAAATTTTCATTCATGGATGATGGTGCAGAAAGTAACGCAAGTTTGTTTACAAACGTCAAAGATTACACCAGAGCATCTTCGCCAAGTTGCTATTCCAAAAAATTACACACTGGCCGATTCTTGCAGCATCTTGACGCCGCTTCAAGTTGTCGTCTCTCCCAGGTTACAGGTACAAAAACTAACTTTTCAAAAAAATCTGGCCTGATATATGAAATTAGCGGCATGCCATCAAAAGCCACAAGAATGAAGAATATATTGACAGTTTGGAGATCGCACAAACCAAAAGGAGTACCATCTGGAGCAAGTTCCAACACCACAACCTGCCAACGAACAAGTTTTTACAACGATCTGCAAACATTTGAAGAAGTATCTCCACTTTCAGAACGCGAAAAAGTTTTAAACTGGTTGAAATCAGTTGAGGAGCCACCGGTGACAAATGCATCAGTCATAAATTCTAAACTGCCACCATCCAAAAGTAATCATGGTTTAATTAATGAAAATCCGCCATCTAGTCAAAATTTTATATCAAATGTATCAGCCCAACAACAATTTGAACAATCGACAGACGCAAACAATTTTTCAAAGTTTCAGTTAACTAGAGAAAAACTGATTTATACTGTGGCGTCCGTGGCTAAAAAATCAGCTGAAAATTTGAGCAAACAAGAAAACTACAGTGAAGCTCTGGAAGTTTTCAAATTTGCTCTAAGCATTTTGAAAGCCAATTCAACCGGTCTTAGACACGAGAAAGAACTGATTGCCGAATTGTTGAGAAATATAGGAATGACTAAATGTTTACTTGGACAAATATCTGTAGGGTGCCAGTTGATGCAAGAATCTGTCAGCTTATACAGCAAACTAGAAAACATGAGTGACAGTTCCAGAATAAGCGAAATATGGTTTCAGTTAGGTGGGGCGTTTTTGTCAGAAGAATTGCGAAAAGATTCTTTATTTTTGCGCACAATGCAACTCATACAAAAAGAGTTGAATAATGAAAATGCTAAAGAACTTTTAAACAGTTACGAAAACGATGGTTTTGACGACAAATCTAGCGAGTCTTCCGACAATTCAGAGAATGAAGATGGATACTGTGTTTGTATCTACGAAGCCATGGAATGTTATAAACAATCTCTCAATTTGTTCAACGATTTAGGAAAAAATGGCTTACTTCTAAATTCCGAACTTTACATACACGTTCTCTGCAATTTAGCGGACTGCTATTTCATGGCGGGAAATTTAGACTTGGCAGAAGTATATTACGAAGAAGCTCTTTTATTGTTTCCAAGAGCTCGAGGAAGTCCAACAATGCTGGAGAATTCGCATGTACTTTCTATGCTGGGCAGTTTGAATTTCATTCTTGGAAATTACGTGAGAGCAGCCACAATGTACGAAACTGCGCATATACTGAATCAACATAGAAATGTTGGTCGTCACGACGAGCCTACTCTTCAGCAGGCTTGGAATATCGCTATGTTAGGTTTGTCTTGCTACAACTTGGGACATTTTGATAAAACGGTAGCATGGTGCACGAGAGCATTCACTTTGTATACAAGAGTTTTAAGAGGGTCCTTATTTAACGCTGATTACTACAATCACTGGTTCGTGATTGAAAATTTGTATAGTCTCGGCACCGCATATGCAACGATGAATTTTTTTGAGAAGGCTGTTTATTATTTAAATCTGGGAAGAAATTTAATAAATGGCTGTGAGGTGAGTGACAGACAGGATCCAAAGCAACACGTCAAAGTCTTGAGAGCCCTGGCTGATTCGCATGCATCTATGGAAGAAAGTGATGTGGCCCTCAGGTTAATTTTGTTTGTGTACTTTTAAATATTTGAAAACAAATTAGTAAACATTCCGCTTTAAATTTTTTTTCTTCTACAACTGCTTTGTAAAATGCATTTTTTTATTAACTTATCATTTTTTATTAATTTTTAATTTATGTTTTTGTACGTAATTTATCAAAATATTTTTCAACTGTTTGTTTAATTTTATCACCGATTTCTATTTATTGTTGACAATTGTCAAAAAGGGAGGAATTGTACTTAAAACACTTTATTGGAGTATGATTTTTGGCGAAACAATTTATCTTTTTGTGCTGCTTCCCCCACTTTTTAAAAATTTGAAACAAATTTGAAAAAAATTTCAATAGAACTCAGCTCTTTTTTAAAAACGAATGCTTGCTTTCTCATTGTATTTATTTTTTATCGTTTATGTTCTTTAAAATATGTTAACGTTCATTTTATTTTTAAATAATTGAAACCTAAATTTGTACAAAAGTACAAAATTGTTCATGCGTTGTTTTAGCTGTCTTTGAAGATTAACCATCCATAACCCAACATCTATTAACTGTTTATTTACATTGTATGACCTACATAATTTGTTGAATTAGTCTCAAATGTCAAGTACATTTTTATTTTCGTTTTGAATTTATATCGTATTTGCTGGTTTTAAATTAACTCGTTTACAAAGCTCGTGCTTCAATTTTTAAAATTTCTAACGCAAGGCGTTTTATTAAAGCATTATTTGCTTATAAAATGAAAAAATCACAGTACAAATTTGTTTATTTATTAGATTGGTTCAATTGAAAAATTTGCATCTTCTTCTTAAAAAACCAAACACAGTGTTACGTGGCATGTAATTTTTAGTTGGGATTGTAATTTTGAGAAAAAATGTTTAAGACAGTTCAATACAACATTTATCGCATTTCTTTCAGGTCTTCTTCCCACATTTTTCGCCTCGTTGGTGATTATTTATTCAGCAATGAAGTAGTCCTGACCAACAAAACTGACATCAGGATCTCAACATTATCGATTAGGCAATACTTTATCATTTGTGTCAACACTAATTTTTGTTGAAACTGCATCTCTCAAGCGTTGATGCTTAGTAGCTTATGAACTGCTAAACAGTTGATATGCATTTTGTAGACGAGCGTAAATTTCAAAACCGAACAAAACCTACTATTACTTTTTTCTTTGAATATTTATCCAAACTCTGGCAATATTTTAATTCTTCCTGCTTGGTCCTTCAATTGTGCCGTAAAATTATATTTTGAAACTCTCGTTGTCAGCTGTAAACCGACGTTTGGCTTGACTTCTGGGTTCAATTCAGAAGCAGTTGGATATCATATTAGCTACATTATTGTCTTTTAATCAAACTGCTGTCAACATTCCAATCTCTTGCCAGAAATACAGAAATATGGTTCAAACATTTTCAATCATTTATCTTAACGGGTCCATATTTTTTAATGAGCATTTCTCTGGTTTATAAAATTCTACGGTTCCCGTTCCCGCTGATGTTGAAGCTTTAATGTAGTCGAGTGAACGTTGAGACGTGCAAGTTGCCAACAAACGTTTTGCAAGGAAGTTTAGCTGGTAGCTTGCCAATCATCATGTTTAGAATTTTAATTTTAGATACCGATAACCCATAGAAATGGCCAGACCTAATGAAATATCGATCAAGTTGTTGCAGTACGATATTTCTAAACTAAAAGGTTTTTATTTGTGTCTTATGAACTGGTTTGAATGGTTAAGGTTACGACACCACTGACACCAGTTTAGAGAATTATTTTCTGGATTTACATTATTACTATAACTCACAATGTTTCGAAACAACTAAACGGTTAGGCACTACCGATTGCTCTCATGTAAACATCCTCTAAACTTTTTCAATTCATTTGTCTGTCAGCAAGATATCAAAGGAATTGCGATCGCCAAACTAATTTCTGCCTTGTTGTATCCAGATATTTTAATTTTAGCGCGTCATATTTTTGTAATTTTATCATTTTAACACGGTTTTCACAAATGTTATGGCTGTTCTGTCAAAACTTTTATGCTATGAACATCCTAGGTGTGATTGGATTCTATCAGATCACATTTTGTCTACTGGTTTGATTGTTTTATTCATAAACTATGCAAGAAGTGTTTTCATGGTAGAGTGATGAGAAACAAACATCATTTTATTTAAATTTTCCATCATGCTGATTATTTCAGTAAACAAATATTTTCAATTAAAAAAAGATAACAGCCAACGTATAACCTTATTTTTAACAAATATATTGTGCCCGAAATCATATCAATTGATCCAAGTGCAATTAAAACATTTTTCAGCCAAAATATCAAACAACTTGGCTGGGTATATTATACATTAATGTTGTAATGAAATATTTATTAGAAAAACAATAACAATTTGGACAAGAGATTTCTTGAGTGCATTTATTACCAGCAAAGTTTAAACCTTTTGGCCCATAGCGTTCTATTATAAGAACATCGTATAATGCATTAGATTAGCACATATTGCAATCCTAACAAGCTTTCTAACTATTCATCAAAAAATATAATCTATGAATAAATTGTGATAAGCTAAAAACTTGATGAATTAAAAAAATAGAAACACGTGTGTATACAAAAAATTTGATGCTCGCGCACAAAAGTTGGAAAGTGCCAAAATAGGATAGCGTAACATTGAACGCTCGTTGTAATGAACGTCAGTCATGCGATAGAGGGTTTTAATGCTTAACAATTTTTAGTAATTATTTTGTTTTTTTCTGTTGATTTTGTAGTTTTTATTTGAAAACAATGTAATTTTCGATGTTGAATAAATTTCCATTGACAGATTTTACGAGGAAGCAGTTCAGATAAGCAGGAAGTTAGGAGAAAACAACTCGAAGACGGCCCTGCAAAACCAACTGCTCAACAGCATGGCCAGTGTGAACGTAGACAGCAAGAACTACGAAGATGCAGAGAATAATCTGGAACAAGCACTAGACTATCAGAAAGACGTCGAAATGTCCATCAAATTGGACATGGTAGCTGTCTTGAAGCGTCTCGGAGCCACAAGTGTCTTGGCTTGTGACGTCGATAAAGCGATCGGTTGCTACAAAGATTGCATTCAAGCAACTCGAGAACTCCGATGGATGTCAAATCAATGGGAGGACATTACTTGCATGCTGTGTACGCTGGCTACTCTGTACCACGTCAAGAGTTGTATGCTGGATGACGAGAACCAAATGGAGCTTTTCATGACTATGTCCGAAGGTTGGATATACAATTATCAACGTGAATTGCAGTTGTATATGTTATTGTGGAATTCTTGAACTTTGGGTTTTAAACAATTGTTTGTGTGAATATCAAATTATAAAAATGTGTAAAATAACAAAATTTACAACTTGCTATACACACAAAATTTCAAGCATGCAAGATAAATTATGTTCTAAAGAAAATAATAGATAGTAAGTAAGTAAAATTAAAAAATTTTAAATGTAAAACCAATAATTATATTTGCAATTATTCAAAGGCTGCTTCCAAGAAGCGATCGCAATAACTGAGGACAATCCACTGGACATACGAATCGAAGTTGAGTGTGCTGTCGACCTCCAGTATGCCAACTTCTTGTACCAGCAAGGTCTCTACGCCGACGCCCTCCACGTCCTCCTACCGACCACATTCGGAAACCGACCTCAGTTGAACGATTTGGTGTACAGCGGCATAGAGCAAGCCGTTCTGCCGGATCATTTACAAAGTGACTTCTACGATGATTCCATGATTATCGACGCCAAAACATTCGCCTACTTACTCGCGATTCTCTGCTACAAGAATATAGGCTTGATTTCTGAGGCAGATGACGTTTTGGTAATGCTGTACAAGAGTACATTGGATCCTCATTCAAAAGCATTTCTGTGTAACATTTGTGGCTATGCGTTGTTAGAGATGGGAATGTACCTGGAAGCGTGCGAAATATTTTTCTATTCGGCAACTGTGAAGAGTGTGTATACCCCGCTCGGAGTCAAAACTGCTATAAATTTTTATATCATTTTGTGCTTGCACATATACAATTCTCTCGTCAACTTCTTTCACACAGTTTACAATCTACTTCAAAAGTTAAGTAAAAAATTACATAGCAGTAAATACAGTAGCGGGAAAAAAGATTTCGAAAATGAATCAATTTCTTCAATTGTCAGACAACTTTCTTCGCAGGATGAATCTGATTTGGCGTTCTGCAGTGATTCCGGTGAGGAGATGGTGGAAATATGGGAGGAGTGGACAGAAGATAACGTGCCGGACTCGAAAAAAGTTCATTGGAGTGACAAATCATTCACTCCTAACAAACTTGAAACAGCATTTACAGAAATGAAACAAACTTATCAAGAAAAAGATTCAAATATTCAAACAAAAACTTTTGAGATGAAAAAAACAGAGAACAATAACAAATTAATTGTAAATGAGCAACACTATCAGCAGTTTACTTCAGTCCAACAACGGCCACTGACCATTCAAGAACAAGGTTTCAGTCCCCACAAGTTTTCTGAATCATCGACTTTCTCAAATACGTCCGATTACAGCTCTCAAGTTTTTCATCATTCGAGAGAGAAGCTAGACGAATTTGCAAACATCAATGAAGATAGCAATGAAGACGAAGACGAAATTAGCGAAACTTTTGAAGAGATCGTGTACGACACCCCGAGCCACATGGCGCCCAGCTGCATAAACAACGAACAATTCAGAAGCAGCAGCAGCAGTGACTTCAACATCTGCAAGCACAACATCTTCACATCCAGCACAAACAGCAGTGACACGCTGACCGGCTCCAACAACAACCTGGAAAAGATCAAAATCGACGAGCACAACAAAAAAATCAACGAAATGTCAGTGGAAATTAACGGAAATTTGACCTCGTACCACAACGTCCCTCTGAAAGTGGGAGCTCTGGATCAGCCTGAAAGTGACTCGCTGGAGGACAACGAGGAGTGGGTCACGATTGAAGAAGTCGTCGACACTCCCATCGAAATATTGGCCATCTTAAACAGAAATAACAAATTAAACAGTTTTAATAATGGCAACAATAACATTAATAATGCAAATAATAAAAATGGAAGATATGCGGTTGGATTATATGTATAGATTGATGTAGATGTATATGTATTCTCATACTAACAACATTTTTTCTGAACACGTCAGATTTCAAAATTGTAAGCACTCTTTTTTTTATTTCGAAAATTTAAATTTACATCCGTTTGAAAGTAATTTATTAACCACTCTTTCATAACTTTTCAACTGTTCAATTAGTTTGGCAGGATGGCAATTGTTATAATGATCTGATAACCAACGACTCCTAACAAAAAGTTTTAATAGCAGCTATTAAACAAACAACCGATAAACAAACCAATTGCAACGTTAACTGCCTGGCACGTTCAAACGACGCCTGGGTGAACATTTTTTGCGAGAGGTTGTACAACAGTAACATAAACAAACAACTTGAACGCTTTTAAACTTTCGCTATTAAAAAAAAGAAATGTTTTTATTTCAAAATGTTTGAATGGATTAACAATCATGCAACATTCGAATTTGTTACATAACAAAATGTCAATCTGGCCGGTCGTTTTTATCTACATGGTGAAGCATTTAAATTTTATTTCACTGAGTGAAATGTTTTGTGTCTGAGAGTGATAAATACAGAAGTGTTATTTGGGTCCCTGGAACTTTATTATGAACAGAAATCAATGCCCAATCGTTTGTTGGCCGCAACGAAATATCACAAAATATTGATGAATAAATTAAACTGAACAACTTCTCCCAAGCTATGGACAAATAAACATTCATGGATCATTCAAAAAAGTTATATTGTTTAAAACAACAAACTTTGAAGTAGTAAATTTATGAGATTAAATGATGGATCACCAGTGATCACCAGTTGATTGCGTTAACAAACCAGCAGAAAATGTACTGCATGTGTAAATTTACGGCTTGATCGTTCTGCAGTCGTTTAATTATTATATTTCAGCTTCCACGCTAATAACTCCTAATTAGCTTTCGAAACTGTTAAGAGCTGTTAAGCTTTGCAATTATGTCATGTTTATCCTCATCACCCCATCATAGTTCTATGATTTGTTGTTTATTTCATGGGCAGTAATCTCACTCATCATTACCATTCATGATCACATGATGAACTTATGATGATTGTTATCAGAGTAGTGTTGAATTGTTGCCTCACCATGGCGTACGATGAATGTGGTCATTTTGTTAATTCATCATTATTTCAAGGAAAATTTGTGTTTAATGTCTTCATGATATTCACCATCATCAAAATATTCTTATCAATGTTATATAAATATATATAAATAAATATGTGTGTGTGTGTGTGCGTGCGTGTGCGTGCGTGTGTGTGTATTGCATGATATACGCCACTTAACTGCGTCTTCCTCATATTGACGATGATTTTGATTTATTTCCTTCAATTTACATCTATCAAAAATTCGCACCATGACAGAACATCAACTGATCGTCGTCGGTTTCTTATTTTAATGTTTTAGAAACAATTCTTATCTGGTGATTAGTTTCTTGGTGTTGTTTAAAAACTCATCTTGAGACCATCATTCACGTCTAAACAAACATCCTGTTGATTGTAATTGCTGTTTAGAGAGAATATTTGTTAGAACTCATTAAAAATTATGTGAAATTGAATCATTCCATGCTAGCATACATCGAAAGCAAACCGGGCTGTGCTACGTTTGAAACTTTTTAGGTTCTTCCATTTTTTTTTCCAATATTACAGAAGGATTTTTATTACAGAAGGTTCCAATGAAATTTTTTGGTTTTAAAATTTGCTACAATTACTTGCCATGTGAAAGGAATGTTAGTTTAAGGACAACACCGCGATATAATTGGCAGCATCTTAAAATTCTTGAATTACTTTTTCTTCCCGCTCCACCTCCACAACCTCCCTTCATGGAATGACATAATAATTGACAATAAAAGTTATTTTATTTTTTAAATTTCTGGAATTTTGCATTGGTATAGTGACGAACCAGTAAACATCATTATCTAACTAATGAACACACACCGAAGAACGTTAAATATTCTTCAGTGGTTTGCAAAATTCATTGTGTCTGAAATGTTCCAGTTTTTTTTGTGTAACCAAATTTCATTGAATCGTCTCCAACTTTTTCAATTGAATCAAATATTCATGGATACTTGCATGTCAGGCATTTTCATCTTCCTAGCGTTGAATGGAGAAGACTTGGTACCTGGCACTCCATATACTCGGAATGAGTTTGTTCGAATCAGACTTTTGTTGAAGTTATAGAATGTTTTGTGTGTGATGCTCAGATGGCGTTCATATTCACACTGTGTGATAGATGTTAGTGACAATGTCGATCGGTGATAAGTTGAGAGTTGACTCGGGTATGGCGTCCTTTGTTTTCGACGATCTTCCATGGAATACGTATTACGTAGGTGGCTGGTGTGTATGGCCTTCCAGGAGGTCGTGCGGCGTGGGAGCTGGGATCGAAGAATGTATTTCGAAGAATGCAGTTGTGCGTTGATGTCGAGTGTAAGTTTTTCGCACTCTTTCATTTCACAGTCTTGCTGCTCTCATGCTGTCACTCCTTCAAGCTTGTCGAATTAACAGTCTCATTCATTTATTCGGTATTTGTATATTTTATCAATCCAACGCTTGGCTTACACGTGTGGCTTTCAAATCAGTTTTCCAATTATTTTTACTTTTTTTTCAGCTCTGGTTTATTTTTAATTCATTTGTTTGTTTTCATAATTTTAAAAGGCACGTATGTTTTTGCGTTAATAACACTTGACATTCCGTTGTTTTGTGGAAACCATTATTAAAATGTGTGTTTGAGAATCAAAGATTCATCAAAGTGCTCATAAAATGAAATGTCTGTAGCTCAAGCATGTTGGTAAACAAAAACTTGAAGTGCTGACTTTTCGAGTGTTCTTTTCATAAATATTAATAATAGTAGTAATAAGTCAACATATCGTCATATGTCATTTATGTATAACCATATCCATTTAAAATAAAAAATATGACCTTACATAATTAATAATATATATAATAAATGCTTGCCTGCTACAATTGAGTGATACCGAAACAGAGTGAGAACGTTTTGAGAGGGTTTGATTCTATTGATCGGTTGTTTAGGAACATTTAAAGTGATTCAAACTTGCATTTGGTCGTGACTTACCTCTTTTTTATTCTATTTTATGATGACAATGACGATGACTGATAATTATAAGGATGATGATGTTGATGAAGACTATGTTTTTGGGTTGATGATAATGATAACAACGATGATGACGACGACGATGATTATGAAGACTACTATATTTGTGATGCGTATGATGAAGATACTTGATAAGAGTGAGTAGGATTATTATAATTTTGATGGCAATCAAACAACAAATTGATGAAATGATTATTATTATGATGCTATAATACTACGTCCTAGTTATTGTGTTGGTCAGAGAAATGTTTTTACTTGTTAGAGATCTGATGTATCCACAGAATCCATTTCACACAAGCATACATTTGCATAAATTTGCATACATTTATCATATTAAATCAGTCGCTTTAAAGTCAAGCGAAATAAAACTATGGGCTATCGTTGGTTACAGATAAATCAATAAATCCAACACACATTGTGTTGATATGTATGTACAATCCCATTATTCGTTTAATAAGTTTTAATTTATGCTAGCTTCACTTAACTACCAATGTTCAATTGTTACACATATCTCCGTTTTAGTTGATTTTTCATGAACAATTCAAATGCTTTATCCAAATTTTTGTTTCAATTTTTATTATTCATTAGCATGATTATTAGTTTATTACTTAATTAATTAAAGAGTGGTTAGTTAATTAACATATTATGTTAATCTATCGTACGTACGTGCATACATAAAATTATTAATAATGATTCATGGCTTGGCTTGAAATTTTGTTCGCTAGGCTCGTCTGTGATTTGCAATGAATAATAAAAATATAATTTAATTAATTTGAATAAAAAATCAAATCGAATCTATTAATTTAAAGGAAATAAGAATATAATTTACGATATAACATGTTAAAATGGAAATTTTATTTAAAAAATCATTAAAAAACAATATATATAAATCTTACAGCAATGTAATTACTCATTACAAATTACAATCAAAATTCTTTATAACATTTAATTACTATTATCTGCAAATGTTTAACCCTACACCCAATATAACGTAAGAAACGCTTAATATATGAGTATTTTTATATATTTATAATTTTTAAGACATTTGTACGAATGAACCATCTAATATTATTTACGATAAGTGATTGCTCGTCAATGATATATTTTGAGACTACCTTCGAGTTTTATGCATTGTTTTGACCGCGGTACATGCAGTGTTGTTGGAATGTTCATCCATGCTTCCCTGTATTTTCCACGTGCATTGTAAATAATTTTTCCATGCTTGCTGTCCAGCATAACGCGATGTAGTTGCTCGAACCTTCGCTATCGAGAAGAACATTGGCCAAACGCACAAAAACACAACAACATCTATGCACAACGACCTACACACACACACACACACACACACACACACACACACACACACACACACACACACAGATTTATATATATCTATGTGTATATGTTGTTTGCTTATTAAGATGTCCCAAGCATTTGCCTGTAAAATTTGAAAGTGTTAATCTTTGTTTTTCATTTCGTTTTCGTTTAAGAATTTTATTTTCTAATTTGTTTTTTTTTTTACAACCAGTTACAAATAATCCTCCACTATTGAATTGGTTGTTAGAGAGATTTTTCATTCGCCATTTCAACTCAGCTGCTTGAAAACAACAAAAATAATTAAACTGCTTAGTTTTGTTTGTTTCTTTGCAAAAGAAAATTAGAAGAAAATAATGTAAACATTTCAGAATATTCCTTCTAGTAATATTAGTAGAGATATTAATATACTGAATCTGGTAATATCGTCGATCGATCGATCACTTGATTGATTGATTGATTGATTGACTGACTGACTGACTGACTGACTGACTGACTGACTGACTGACTGACTGACTGACTGACTGACTGACTGACTGACTGACTGACTGACTGACTGACTGACTGACTGACTGACTGACTGACTGACTGACTGACTGACTGACTGACTGACTGACTGACTGACTGACTGACTGACTGACTGACTGACTGACTGACTGACTGAAACTTTTATTTTCAAAAAAACGTATTTCGATCAGCAGAGTTCTACAATAAAATGCAATGGAAAAATATTTTAGTGGTCCAACAAGTGCAATCATCCTAATCAAACGCAGACACCTTCGTTTGAAATCAACAAACAGAGCATACAATAATACAGCCGTTAAAAAACAACCAAAGTTAAAAAAACGAAATGTTATAAAGGTAAAATAAAAAATGAATTTAAAAACCACAATAGTTTATTACAAATTAATATCATGGGAGTGACGATAATGTAGAAAATTTTTAGGGGTTTCAATTTTAATTCCTTTCTTGAAATGTGGTCATCTTGGTAACCCTCCCTGCCAACAGTAATAAGAGACATCAATTTTCAAAACCTTCAGTTTCAGTGTTCTATTCATATACATAAAATACCTATACTGGCCCTCGAACTCACCCGTGCACATCTTCAGTGCGCCTTAGAATCTGGTCCCATTCTTTGGTCTCCAGGAACAATTATTCATCAGACTCATCCAATTTTACAATGTTTTATTTTTATAGTTTATTAACAAATATTTTCTTATAGTTTATTTTTTTTATTTTTATAGTTTATTAACAAATTTTCTATAAATTTCATTCATTTTAATTGTTTTTTAAATAATTTATTTAATGCATTCGTGCGGGTTTAGTATCTTTTTTTAGTGTAGGTATGGCCGAGCTGATACGAGATCGTTCAACGTTGAAGAATTGTTCCAATAGTCTTCAAAACTACATTACTTTAAATAATTATAATTGATCACGATAAATAATTTTGGAATTAAACTTTTCAACAATCTTCTCCAAGCAAATAATGCTCGACTCCAGAAATCCGAACACAGAAGAATCAGATGCAGATTTTTACCATCCAAAACACAAAACAGAGAAAAAATAGCGACGATTAAAACCAAGTTGAAAGCAAAATATGTTTTTTCTTAACGGAATTGATCAGATGTTCGCTAGATGTGTTGCAAAACAATTGAAAGGCGCCACAAACTATAGTTCGTTTTTTTCAATCTTGCGAGTTTGACAAAATATGTGACAAAGTTTATAAACACCCTGATGTGTTTCATACTTTGTACCGATTGCAAAAAACAACCTGGAATGTCTTTACTTCAATATAAACTCCTCTTTGTTTGTTGAATGCACCTTCCTGGGCTGAATAAAAAACTGCAAAGTAAATTTCAGAGAATCATAAGCACGGTCATCATCATGATTCATATC